GCTTCCTGGACTTGTGTGTCTTTTTTCTTCACCAGATTAGGGAAGTTTTTGGTCATTATTTGTACAAGTAGGTCCTCGATCCCTTGCTCACTCTCTTCTCTTCTGGCCTTCCCATGATGTGAATGTTGTTATGCTTCATGGTGTCCCAGGGTTTCTTAAGCTCTCCTCATTCTTTTAAAACTTTTTTTTCTTTTTGCTGCTCTGCTTGGTTTTCTTTTCTACCTTGTCTTCAAAATTGCTCATTTGATCCTCTGCTTCATCTAACCTACTGTTTATTTCTTCCAGTATATTAATTTATTTCAGATACACATTCTTTATTTTTCACTGGTTCTTTTTATCATTTCTCTCTGTCTTTTCATGCTGTTGAGTATCATTATAATCATTACTCTAAACTCTCTATCTGATAAATTGCTTGCCTTCATTTTATTTAGTTCTTCTGGTGAATTCGCTGGTTCTTTCATTTGGGGCCTGTTTGGTTGTCTTCCCACTTTAGCTGATTCTTTGTATTTGTTTCTATGTATTAGATAAATCTGTGAAGACTCTAGTGCCAGCCAATGTTGTCCCTGCCTATGACTGACACTGGGAAACCTGTTTGGAGCTATCAGTGATCTACAGGTTGTGGTTCCCTGTGCTGGGCCTGTGTACAGAAAGAACCAGGCTGCACACTAAGGCCAGCTTTTATCAGTACCTGACCCATGGGAGGGTTAGCTCAAGTCTCAGAACTCCCAGAGATCTGCCTTTGCTGTTCATCTTAATCACTGATATAACTTGCAGCTGTGCTCAGTAGCCTGCGTTAAGCTCCACTGGGTGGGGTGAGAGGTAGTCCTACAGTTGGGGTTATTGCTTCCCCTTAGGCTGATGCCGCTTGGAGGGGAGTGCTCTGCCTGAGAAAGATGGCTTCTGCAGTATGGGGAATGATTCAACACAAGGATCCTAGCTGTTGATCCTTCAGCTCCATCCCCATGGCCCTCAACCCCAGACTCTCCCCACACAGGTCTAGTTCACTCTGCCTTCCCTCTGCCAGAGCCCAGGATAAGTGACTGCAAATGAAATTTTGTGCATTCGCCCTTTAAGAGATTCTTAGTGTCCCTGTCTCTCCCTGGCCATCCTAAACCTTGCTGCTTTTAACAGCCAGATATTATTTAGATTCCTTTCCTGGTTTTGGTGCTCTATGCTGCCAGCTTGGGGTTCCAACCCCATACTTTCAGAGGGAACAACCCTGGCTGCTGAAATATCCCTCCAGCATGTCATCTGTCTCCTGTGGGAGCAAACCCAGCCCCCTCATGCCTCTGTACTCTCTACCAGTCTTGTTGTGGTGAAGTGGTTTCTTCTGTATGTCCTTGGTTATAATGCTTCTATCTAGCTAGTGTTCAGTTGATTATTCAGGATGATTTGTGTTTAATTTAGTTGTAATTCCAGTTTGGCCCTGGGAGGAGTTTGACATAGCTTCCACTTACTCCTCCATCTTGGGTCCCCCAGCACATGTTCTTTGTTGATTTGTTGAGGATAGCCATTCTGACAGGTGTGAGATGATATCTCATTTTGGTTTTAATTTGCACTTCTCTGATGATTAGTGACATTGAACATTTTCTCATACGTCTATTGGCGATCTGTATGTCTTTTTTTTGAAGAAGTGTGAATTCAGCTCTGTTACCCATTTTTAAATTGGATTGTTTGTTTCTTTGGTGTTGACTTGTATAAGTTCTTCAAAAATTTTGGATATTAACCCCTTATCAGATGTATCATTGGTGAATATATTCTCTCAGTAGGCTGTCTGTTTATTTTGTTGATGGTTTTCTTTGCTGTGCAAAAGCTTTTAGTTTTTTATAGTCCCATTTGTTTATTTTTACTTTTGTTTCCATAGCCCAAGGAGATATATCAGAAAAAATATTGCTATGAGTAATGTTTGAGATTTTACTGACTATGTTTAATGATATAATCTTTATGGTTTAGGGTCTTACATTTAAGTATTTATTCCATTTCGAGTTTATTCTTGTGTATGGTGTAAGAAAGTAGTCTTATTTATTTATTTTTTTGGGCATACATCTGTACAATTTTTTTAAAACTGATTATTACTTTCTTTACCTCACTGTATGTTCTTGCCTCCTTTTAAAAATATTAATTAATTATAAAGGTGTAAGTTTATTTTTGGGCTTTCTATTCTTTTACAATTATCTATATGTCTCTATTTATGTCGGTACCATGTTGTTTTGATTACTATGGTCTTGTAGTATCGTTTGCTATCATGCAGTGTGATTCCTCCAACTTTGTTCTTCTTTCTGAAGATTGCTGTGGCTATTTGGGATTTTGGTGGTTCCATATAAATCTTTGGAATACTTGTTCTAGTTTTTGAAATACACCAATCTTTGGTATCTCTTAGGAAATGCATTGACTTTATAGATTGCTTTGTGTCGTATGGACACTTCAATGATGTTAGATCTTCGTGTCCATGAACACAGTATTTGAAGTCTTTCTGGAAAAAGTCCAGCCATTGTTAACATAATGAGAATGGTTTTTGCAACATCATTGTAACCTGGCAGACAAAGAGAGTGGACTGGAATGCAGATACATGAACAGTGATGACCTCACTCTGCTAGTCAGTGGGGGCAGTAGTCACTGTTGAGTGAGCATGTGTACTATGTAACCATTGCATTCAAAATGACTGAGTAGAGGAATGAATCTGCATCAAATTTTGTGTTAAGCTTCAACATTGTTCTGCAGAAACTATTTAGATGATTCAGAAAGCTTTCAGGACAATGTAATGAGTGCTGCACAAATAAAAGTGTGGCAGAAACACTTCAAAGATGGTTGAGGATCTGTTGAAAGTGATCCACATTCTGGAAGGCCTGCAGAAAGCGGAACATCTGAGAATGTTGACTGTGTATGTGCTGCAATCAACAAAGAACGATGACTGATGGTGCAAGAAATAGAAGCTGATCTGGCAATTCCAAAATCTACTGTGCCAGAGAGATTGATGCACGATCTTGGCACAAAACATGTCCTGGCAAAATTTGTTCTGCAGCTTCTACTACCAGAGCAGAAGGGACATTGTGCTGCAGCTACTAATAACTTAATTCAAACTGCTACCAGTGAACCAAATTTCCTCAAGAAGGTTATAACCAGAGATGAATGGTGGGTCTATGGGTAAGATCCTGAAATGAAGGCCCAGTCATCCCAATGGAAGTTCTCCTTCCTGGTTCTCCATTCCTGAAGAAGGTGCAGCAACACTGCTGCAAGATTAAGACCATGTTAACTGTGCTTTTTGATTGGGAAAGTGGTGCCCATCACAAGTATGCCCCTCTAGGCCAAACAATAAGGAATACTACCTCAATGTTCTTTGTCAGTTCAGAGATGCAATACAATGAAAACAGCTGCTGCTATGGGCAATTGGTGACTGGCAGCTTCATCACAACAGCATGCCTGCTCATGCATCACATCTTATGCAGAGTTTTTCTATGAAACATCAAATCACCCAAGGTGACTCAGCCTCACTACAGTCCTGATTTGGCACCCTTGACTTCTGGCTCTTCCCAAAACTAAAATTCCCTTTGAAAGGGGAGAGATTTCAGAACGTCAGTGAGGTTCAGGAAAATACTATGAGGCAGCTGATGGTGATTCCAACGCAGGATTTTGCAGTGTTTCGAACAGTGGAAGAGGCACTGGGAGAACTGTGTGAGGTTCCAAGGTGCCTATTTTGAAGGGACTGAAGTCTCACTGTCCTCTGTACAGTGTTTCTTGTATCTTCTCTAAATGTCTAAATTTTTTATATTACATGGCTGGATAATTTCTGGACAGACCTTGTATGCTATATACACATATATAACAACACAATATATAAAAACAACATAAATTTAGATACTACTGTCAGTAGAGCTAGCCTTAAAGAAAGTGACTGTCAATCTAAATTCAAGATGAGAAAGAACCAACCCTGCAAAATCCCAATTCAGAGATTTGTGAGAGATAGAGCAAACTGAAAAGTCCTAAGAGATGGAAGTAAACTGGGACATGTTCTGTGATCTGAATAGGCCTCTTCTTGTAGCAATAAAGAGGACAATGTTGAGATAATGTGTTATAAGCAGAGGCATTTTAACCACAGTGAGTGATTTTATTATAAAAATACAGATAAATTATTGAAAAGCAGTTAAGTATGAATTTTTCTTTCATTATCAGACTTCTGTATTAATATTGAAATAGGACTGCCCATGACTGTAGAATCCAATCCAAGAGATTTAGGTGGTATCTAAACCTCAATATTTGTAATAAGTTCCCTGATGATTCAGATCCACATCTCAATTTGAGAACCACTGATTTAAAATGTTTACAGGTATATCTTAGAGATATGGTGATTTGGTTTCAGACCACTGCAATAAAGTGAATATCACAATAAAGAAATTCACACTTGTTTCTGTTTCAGAGTATATTATGTTATATGTACACTATACTATAGTCTATTAAGTGTGCAATAACATTATATATAAAAAAGCAGTGTTCATACCTTAATTAAAAATTGTTTTATTGCTAAAATTATGCAAACCATCATCTGAGCATTTAGCATGCCATAATCTTTTTGCTGGTGGAGGATAACATCAAAAGATCACTGATCACAGGTCAACAAAACAAATATAATACTAATGGAAAAGCTTGAAATACTGCAAGAACTACCATAATCTGACAGAGAGACATGAAATGAGCAAATACTTTTGGAAAAATGGTGCAGATAGACTAGCTCAATGCAGGGTTGCCACAAACCTTCAATTTGAAAAAAACAAAATATCTATGAAGCACAATAAAATGAGGTATGCCTATACTTAGTCTTCAGTCTTAGTTTCTTACATGAACTCTTATTTTTTGTGCTCTTTTCTTATGCTTCTTTTTTACTTCAAATTTTATAATTCAAGAAATTCATTGGGCATTATTTTGTTTATCTTTCATTTCTATTTTAGAAATTTTACTACTTTTAGAAAAAGGAACTACATATTTGCTCTCTTGTTTTCTTTCAGATTCAGAGACCAGGTGTAAGACTAAGAGGTTATCATTAGAAAATGACATTAATGAAATAAACTTATTCCAGTGGAAGATAATGGAAAAAATTAACAACCATGGCCTTAACAACCTTATTTTAAGAAATAATTGGGAGTCCAGAAGAAAATTTGAAGGACAAGTAGAATATCTTGGTCAAGTGAAAATTACGTCTCAAAAAATATCCTCTTACCAAAAACACACATCTCTTACTCCACATCAGAGAATTCATTTTGTTGAGAAACCCTATGAATGTAAAGAATGTGGGAAGGCTTTTAAAGTACGCCAACAACTTACTTTTCATCACAGAATTCATACTGGTGAAAAACCCTATGAATGTAAGGAATGTGGGATGGCCTTTAGACAGACTGCCCACCTTACTCGACATCAGAGACTTCATTCTGTTGAGAAACTTTATGAATGTAAGGAATGTGGAGAATCTTTCATATGTGGCCCAGACCTTAGAGTACATCAGAAAATTCATATTGGTGAGAAGCCTTATGAGTGTAAGGAATGTGGGAAAGCCTTCAGAGTACGTGGACAACTTACTCTCCATCAGAGGATTCATACAGGTGAAAAACCCTATTTGTGTACAGAATGTGGAAAGGCCTTTAGACAGTATGCACATCTTACTAGACATCAGAAGCTTAATATTGCTGACAAACTCTATGAATGTAAAGAATGTGGGAAGGCTTTTTTGTGTGGCTCTGGCCTTAGAGTACATCACAAACTTCATACTGGTGAGAAACCTTATGAATGTAAGGAATGTGGGAAAGCCTTCAGAGTACGACAACAACTAACACTCCACCAGAGAATTCATACTGGTGAGAAACCCTATGAATGTAAGGAATGTGGAAAGACCTTTAGTCGTGGTTATCATCTTATTCTTCATCACAGAATTCATACTGGTGAGAAACCCTATGAATGTAAAGAATGTTGGAAGGCATTTAGTCGTTATTCACAACTTATTTCACATCAGAGCATTCATATTGGTGTTAAACCGTATGATTGTAAGGAATGTGGGAAAGCCTTTAGGCTACTCTCACAACTTACACAACATCAGAGTATTCATATTGGTGAGAAACCCTATACATGCAAGGAATGTGGGAAGTCCTTTAGATTGCGCCAAAAACTTACTTTACATCAGAGCATTCATACTGGTGAAAAACCCTTTGAATGTAAGGAATGTAGGAAGGCCTTTAGACTTAATTCATCCCTTATTCAACATCTGAGAATTCATTCTGGTGAGAAACCCTATGAGTGCAAGGAATGTAAAAAGGCCTTTAGACAACATTCACACCTTACCCATCATCTGAAAATTCATAATGTAAAACCATAAGAAAGTCTTTTTCAGTCCTGTCTTGTAGAGCACTCTATGAATGTGCAATAGTAATTAATGCTTCCTAAATGCAACTGACTTAGTATAAGAGGTTTTATATAATTAAAGGAATGGGGCAATTTATTGTCTTCTACCATCACTCAAACCTGATAAATTTCACATTCATTCCAAAAACTAATCTTATTAATATAACAAATGTGGGAAAGTCATTTATCTCTATCCCATTGCTCTTCTACTTGTGTTATATTGAACAAGATGCTTAACTGCTCTGTGTTATAATTTATTCATTTATAAAATTGTAATATAATTCTGTGGCAGAGTAAAATTGCTGCAAATTCAATAATATTCATCCCATGAAGAGATAGAACTTACATTTTTTTCCTCTTTAATCTGGGCAGACTTTGACTTTGATCAGTAGGATATAGTAGAAATACTCCTGTGCTAGTTGTGGACCCACACTTTACTGGTATATTTTACTTCTCTTGGGATACTCTTTCAAGTTCAAATCCTGAAATGTTATGTTAAAAAAGTCTGCTGAAGAGACCACATAGAGAAGTTCTGAGATTACATAGAAAGGAAGACGTATGCAGTCTTCCAGACATGCCCATCTAGACACCAGATAGTTGAGTGAAACAGTTTTGGGTCCTCCAGATCAATCACCAGCAGAATGCCATTGAGTGACCTTAGTTAATGCTATATAGAACAGAAGGATTGTCCAAGTGAGCCCCTGCCCAAATCCCTGACACACAAAATCATGAGAAACAATATAATCATTGTTTTAAACCTAAATGATCAAAAATCACTCAAGATACTATAAAAACCCTGAACAGGTCTATAAACAAAGGGAAAAAAAAATTAAATGTAGTTGTTATCTTGGTTGTTGAATCCAGAATCAATTGTTTTGCAGGAGTAAAATGTTTCAAAGAAAGATAGCCACTAACAAAATTGTGCCAGATCATTCTATAATGCAGTATCTGAATCAATGAGAATAATCCCTAAAAAACAAAATTTGGACCAGTGTCAATTAAGATACATGTAAACATTCCAAATAGAGTTTAGTAAATTAAACTCAGTAGTCTATTAAAATGATTATAAAACATAAATGATCTACCAGTAATATCCAAAGGCTTGATCTATTGTAATTTAATTAGGAATCCAGATTTTAGGCTTTCTAATAAGCAATGTAACAATATTGGAAAAAGCAACATAATCCAGCCCCAGTATCTTATAGATTCTCTTCTTATTGTCTTATCTTCATCAGCATTAAAAAAGGAATGCACAATAGATATAAAAAGGTCATTCAATCTTCAAAAACTTTCCATAAATAAAACTTGAGTATTGCCACACACTTCATTTTGAATGAAACCTCTGTAATGTTCCTATTGTCAAACATACATTAAGACTTGCACCTACAAGTCCATTTTGCTCGGAATGGGCAAGTTGGACAGATGTAGTTGAATGAATCATTCACCATCTAGAATAATACATATTTTCCATTCATGATTTCAAATTTTTAAATTTGTAAACAGTATATACAATGTTTACACAAAAATGTAATGCCAAAAAATATTATAAGCGCTATAATAAAATTAACTTCTACTAATAGGTCATTGTGTTTCTCCATGGTTACATTTTTATGTTAGAGGTCTTCTGAAGACAGTACATTAACCCAAAATTTCTGAATGTTCTACAAAATAATAGTATTTAATGGTACTTGAAAATGATTTTGTGGTCAAATAAGCATGGAATCTCTGTATACTTAATTTCTTGGGGAAAAAATTCACATTAAATGTTTATCAAAAGACTATAAAAAATGTTTCATTTTATCTAACCCAATGTATCTCAGACTTCAGTATAGAACTCCCATTTGCAATACCCATTGCAGATGTGATTCTACTTTGGTAGATGTTATTGCAACCAAAAATGGTGGCTTCAAAGATGGAGATACCAGGTTGATGACAGGAGTATGTTTTTGTTTTTTTTTTATGGTGTGGAAAGCAACTCAACATGCTGTCCAACCAGCTAATTCTTTGAATAAGTTTTTTTTTTTTAATGGTGCTTTCAATAGAATAAAAAACTATAGCCCTACCTATTATTTAGATAAGTATACCATAAGTATTTAGGACCTTTATTGGTAATTTTTAGTTATAGACAATTTCTCACTGAAAAATATCTTACTAAATATTTATGTTTGTTGCTATACATAAGCAAAGTTTCTCTATCAAAAAGTGGGATTGCTCAGTCACAGGTTCTATTTACTTGCAACCTCATTAGTTATTACTAGAGAAGTGGAGAATATCACTGTGGTGCTAATTTACAACCCCTTAAATATGGCGAAATTATTTCCTTATAACTTCACTTCTGGCATGTGCCTTAATATATTCCTGGTTAATAGTGAGTTGATTATCTTTTTAAATCTGTTTATTGGTAAACACTGTAATATGCTATTTCATGTTTTCTTTTGCCCATTTTTTAAAAAGAACATTCATATAAGAATTGTGGAATTCTTAAAAACATTTTAGATAGTAATCCTTTACCTAGTATTATAAATGATAAGCTTACCTTATCCCAGATCTGGCTTATATCTGTATTTATGGTGATATTGTCATTAACATTTAAAATATGGTTACAATCATAGTGTTCATTATTACCCAATAATATTTTTAATTTATTTTTTATTAGACTTGGTTTTATAGGCAATCTGTTATGTCCATTGCAAATAAATACAATTTTGTTCTTTTCTGAATATTTGCAGTTATTAATAATCTTATTACAATTAAGAAAATTTCCAGAACAAGATTTAGAGTTAGAGATAATAACAGGCATCTAATTGTTTTCCCCAATTTAATGGAAATCACTTAGTGTAATGTTTGCTCTAGATTTGAAGTAAATAGACTTTGTGTGGCTCAGTTGTTTACATTGTCCTTTTTTATTTTTTAATCAGAATTGACTGCTTAATATTGTCAGGTGCCATTTGGCACATTGATACATAATGTTTTTCTTGAGTTTGTTAATGTGGTAAGTTATACTTTGGTCATTAAGGAAGTATGTTATTGGTGCAAGAATGAACAGACAGACCAATGGAACAAAATAAAGAGCCCTGCAATAGACCTATATATATATGTGGTCATTACACTCATGACAAAGGTTCCTCTTCAGTGTTCTTGGGAAATGGTGGTCTTTTTAATACTTAGCACTGAGTCAGTTGCATATCCATACTGATAAATGAATCTTGGCTCTTATCTCACTTTACACTCAAAGTCCAGATAAGTTAGTGATCTAATTATAAAGATACAGGCTTTAGTAGAAAACAGACTATCTTTCTAGCCTGAAAGTAACAACATTTTCTTAAACAGAACACAAAAAGCATTAACCATATGGGGAAAAAATCGTGTTTTACTATATTAAGTTTAAAATATGTTTTCATCAAAAGACACTATTTAAGCCCTAACTGGTGTGATGCAATGGGTTGAGCATCATCCCACAAACTGGAAGGTCACCAGTTCAATTCAGGTCCCAGGTTAGGGATGTTCTCTCATGCATTGATGTTTCTCTCCCTCTCTTTATCTCTCATTCTTTTTGTATACTTCTCACTAGGGTTCATATGTTAAAAATAACAAAGAAGGGAGAGACCCTTAATTGGTATATAAGCAAAAACAAATATTTTGCCCACAGTAAAAGGGAAAAACTAACCCAAGCAATTTTTGGATAACAGTCCTGATTTTCTGAGAAGATGGTGATGAGGTAGGTGGGAGCTGAACCCACTTGCTCATGCACTAAACTGGGACACCTAGCCAATCTTCTGAAGAACAGAGTGAATAGCCAACAGAATCCCAGCTGATAGGATTTGGAAGCCAAAGATTATAAGGGACATTTTGAAGTGGATGGAAGGAGATTTTTTAGGAGATGGGAAGGTCCCTGGGCCCTGCGCAGGGGGGCTTTGGAGGAGAGCTGGGTCAGTGATTATAGCCTGGTGGCTCCACCAAGCCCCAGAGCAGAGAAGTCACAAACCCATTCCAGGAGAGACCTGGATGCTTGGAGTTGCTGAGGGGATAAAGATGCAGTAGGAGACACAGCTAGCAGCATACCTTGGCTGGGACTGTGGTCCTCAGCTGGAACAGTAACAGAAATTGGGGAGCAAGGTGACATCAGGAGATAGAAGAGATGAGCCATGACTGGCCGTGACCCAGATAGTCTCTGGACTGGTCAGAGAGTTGGGCTGTGTGAAAAGCTGGGTGCTTTTTAGGAACAGCCAGCCACAATTGAGGGGAATTCACCAGAAAAAAAAGGCTCTCAGCCGTTTTGCAAGGACCTCTTGTGCACAGCAGCCAGGACAGCGAAGCGTGGTAGGGAGGCAATTTGCTCCAAATTGGGGTGCCTCACAGATTGATCAATGGAGCAGTGCAACAGGGACTCAGAGAGGTAGCAGAGCCCAGTGACGATTTAATAGGAGAACTAAACTGCCATGAAAGGACTTTGTATGTGGGTAGCTCCCAGACCAACAAAGAGGGAGGACAAAGGGAGCAATTTGCTCCCACTCAGCGCCTTTCACAGATTAATCAAAGGGTTCCACAATGAGGTGGACTATAGACACTGGCCCGGCACATATGCGCAGTAGACAGTGTGGGCCACACAGTGCCCTGAGGGCGTGGGCTGGAAACTGGGCACCTGTGAATACTGAGCCCCAGACTGAGCCCCTATCCTTGCAGAACCCCAGGAAAAGAAAAAAATCAAACAAACAAACAAAAAAACAGCCCAGCTCCCTCTGCCTGCAGCACCCAGAATGATCAGCAGAATCCACCTGACAGGTTTAAACACAGGACCAGGGTTTTATTTTTTATTTTTTCGGCAAGTATAAGACGATAAATCCTGGAACTGTGAGAATACCAAAGACAGATCTAGAAAGATGTCAGAAGGCTAACACCAACAGCTGAGAAAAATTTCACTATAGTATTCTTTAGAACTTGGATTTTATTATTTTTGTTATTTTTGTATTTCTCTTCTTTCCATTTATTTTTGTTTGTTTTCACTGTTTTCTTTATTCTTTTTCATATTGCATTTTAATTTTTCTTTTACTTGTATTTCAATAACACACTATTTTTATTCTTTTTATTCAGAGTATATATTTCTTATTGCATTATTGTTATTCCAGATCCAACACAGCACCCTCCCCTAGTCTTAATCCATTTCGCCATCTTACAACAATGAGCTTTATCACTGTTGTGGTTAACTTTATTTTCTCACACACTATGCCAAAATTCTATCCCTACTCTCACTATATCTCACCATCTAAACTCACATAAATGCTCCGCTTCCTAAAGTCAGCTCACATTCTTTTTCACTTCTAATAAAAGTCATCTCTTTTTCACCTTTTACAAAAAGTGGCTAGTTGGGTGAAATATCATGGTTATTGCTTCTCCAAAAGATCTATCAGTTCCCTACTTGTTAGTACTTTAAATACCATAGAATACTCCCCCACTGTCTACTCAATTTCACCTTTTCTCTGCCCCAATCATATACAAGACAGGGTGGGAGTTGTGACTACTGGTAAACCTGCTGGAGGGGAGAACCCACTGACAAAGGAGACACCAACAGGTAAAGCCCAAGAGACCCCACACAAACAGAAGAAAGGGCAACCCTGGAGCATCCAGACAAGTTCAACGAGACCACACCACTGAGTCCCACAAACTCCTACCAGAGAATTTCACCCTACAAAGACAACTGACACAGAGGAGCATTAGGAATCACAGAAATAAACAAAAAGTCACCTAATATGGAGAGACAAAGAAAACCCGCAATCGAAAGGAATGGAAGAATCCCCAGTAAAAGAACTAAATGAAATTGAGGCAAGCAAACTCTCAGATATAGAATTCAAAAGAATTGTTATAAGGATGCTCAAGGAACTCAATGAACTACAAAGAACTGAGTGGGAACTACAACAGTATGAAAAAGGAAATAGAAGCTATAAACAAGAACCATGAAGAAATGAAGAATACAATATCTGAAATTTAAAAAATAAAACACTAGGAGGAATTACAAGCAGGCTGGATAGAGCAGAGGACCGAATTAGTGAGCTGGAAGACAAGGTAGAAAGAAATACCCAGGTAGAGCAGCTGGACAAGAAACGACTAAAAAAAATTAAAATAGCTTAAGGGAGCTGCAAGACAACATGAAACATAAACAGGAACACCAGATGGAGAAGAAAAGGATGAAGGGTATAAACCCTGTTTGATAATGATAGAAAACTTCCCGAACCTGGAGGGGAAAAACTACGCACATTCAGGAAGCACAGAGGATCACAAAAAAGATCAACCAAAAGAGGCCCACTCCAAGACAAATCACAGTTAAAATACCAACTCTTAAAGACAGAATATAAAAGAAGCAAGGGAGAAACAAGAAGTAACATACAAGGGAGCTCCTCTGATTTCTCAGTGGAAACCCTACAAGCCTGAAGAAATGGCAAGAAATATTCTGAGTAATGAAGCAAAGACCTGCAACCAACACTGTTCTACCCAGCAAGGCTCTCAGTTAAAATGGAAGACAAAATAGGGAGTTTCCCAGACAAAAGACCACTGAAAGAATACACCTCCACTAAACCAACACTGCAAGATATGCTAAAGGGACTGCTTTAAGAACAGAAAGAAAAAGAGTGAGAAAGAAAGGAACATAGGTACAAAGGGAGAAAAATGAATAAGTACCTATCAATAATAACCTCAAATGTTAATGAATTAAATGCTCCAATCAAAAGACATAGGGTAGTTGAATGCATTAGAAAACATGACCCACACATATGCTGCCTACAAGAGAC